TGATTCAGGGACTTTCCTATACTTTCCAGACCAGGCAAGTCTCCTAAGAAACTTTGATCTCCATAAACCAATGCAGAACTCTAGCTCACACAATCACATCTCTACGCAAACTCCAAACACTATCCTTCTAATTTGCCCAATAAGTTCACTGCTCACCCCCGCCCACCTCCCACTGTACTGGAGTACTGTATTAGAAAGCACTCTATCACTGAGATATGCCCCCAGCCCTCACCTTTAATTCTTTTTGTTTCTTACATCTTATCCTAATTCATAAGCAAACTGGTTTTATTTCCACAATGAATGGTGCATGCAAAGTGGCTGCCATTCCTGTTAGGTCATCCCATGGCCATCCCCAAACCATTCTCTTTGTAGCCCACCCTGTCCAGTCCCTGGCATGGTTCCAGAGAAAAACCTACATTCACTTTCTAATGAAGGAGGCAGGAGCAGGCAGCACTACTCCTCCTCCTCCCTCCTCCTGAAGACACAGAAGAACAGCCTGGAGCTGGGGCAGGCAGGCCGCAGTCAGGAGGATAAAACATCAACAGAGGATGCCAGAGAGAAAGAAGGAGCTGGCTCCCGCAGGTACTACTCAGGGAGTAAATCATTCACCTTAGAGATCTTATTAGTGAAAAAGATAAACTGTAATCTGTCTAGGATCCAATCGTGAGCTCTCACTGCTTACAGCTTTCCAAATGTAAATGTTTTGGGCCCAGGAAGACTGCTGTCATCCATCCTCCAGGCTTGGTGCCTGGGTTGCACGGGCAGAACAAAACTGAGTAACAAGACAGAAGAGGTGAGTCCAGAACACAGGTGCCTGGAGCTGCAGGCAGCCATCAACAGGAGCAGGGGAGGGACACTAGTGCCGAGGGAATTCAGAGCCCAGGGAAGTACAGGCCTCTAATACAAGGGAAAAGAGGCTCTCTCCAGGAAGAGCAGATCCCAAACCCAGCCCCATATTCAGCAATGTTGTCATCATTCAGAACGTCCACACACCAAGCACAGGTGACAGAAATCACAGTTGGGGAGACAAGATGCAAAGGAAAATGCCAGGAGCTCAGAGCCTTAAACATGGAAGGTATTGACCAGAGCTGCTGAGGCTTGAATAGATCTGCTAATGACATCATTACTGCAAACAGTTAAGTGTCAGCTAGGTGGTTGTGGTGTATGCCTTTAATCCCAGCATTCAGGAGGCAGAGGCAGGTGGATCTCTGGGAGTTTGAGGCCAGCCTGGTCTACACAGCCAAGACTACAGGGAGAAACTCTATCTCAAAAAATCAAAAATGAAAACAAACAAAATTAAGTATCAGTGGAATGAGTGCTTAGCCATAAATGGGACATCTGCATCACTAGCTCCACTCAGGCTCAAGACTCAGGGACCACAGAGGAAGAGGAGGTGGAAAGATTGTTAGAGCCAGGGGTCAGGGAGGACTTGAGAGAAAGTGTCTTCTGGACATGACAGGACCATTGCACTCATGAACTCACTAGGGCTGTGGTGGCCTGCACAAGACCTGCACAAAATCAAGCCAGTCAACAGTCTAGCATGGAGCAGGAGAGGGTGACAAGCTCTTACCCCTGAGGAGCCATCGACAGTTAATGGCTTCTGGGAGTGGGAGAGTCAATTTTCTTTAAGAGTATGGCCCCTGGTAGGTTGACAAGTATGGCCCCACACCCAGGAGTTTTTGGGCAAGATAAAACGTACTCGGTGGGAGACAGGGAAGTGGTGGATCGGAGAGGAGTTAGGGAGGAGGGGCGTGGGAGTGTGATCAAACCATGGAGAAGTCAATATGGCACTACAACTGAGCAGCAGAGACAGAGACAGAGGAAGCTGGCAACAAGGACCCATCAGCTGACAGCTTTCTCTTTTGAGTGCACAATCAGATAAAAATAAATATTAATTACAACTACCAGACTCTCCACTATCAGACCTCCATCTGGTTCCTGATTCACTTCTTCCAACCATGCAGGGTTTGGAGATCAAAACACATCTTGTCAGGCTCAATGGTAAGCCATCTTGCTGGCCCATTCACCTTTTCTTTTGTAATAGGGGTCTTCCTAATTCACCCAGGCTGGCTCTGAACCCACCATGTAGCCCAGGCAATTGAATTTGCAATGCTCCTGCTTTGACCTCCCGGGTTGCTGGAATCACAGGCTTGTACTATTGGGCTTGCAGACCTCTACTCCTCAAAGAGAAGCCCCTAATGGCAGCTCTGCTTCTGGTTTGCATAAGAGCAAGAAGCTCATGCACAAACAATCTAAACAGGTGTTTCAAGCAAGAAATCGGGCACCACACCCCCTCCAGGCTGGAGCAAGGAAGGAGGCAAACAGTGTTCCTGCCTGGGAAGGTGGAGCCAAGGACCTCTTTATTCATTATAAATGTAATCTTTTAACTTTTAAAGGTGATGTACTATTTTAGTTAAAATTAGTGAAAGCAGAGAGACTTGAAGGCTTTCTTTAATTTCAAATTACAAAACCACATGATACAATAAAAAATAAATAAGGAAGACTCTTGAGTGGCAGATATACATTTCCTGGCTCTGATGAAGCGTCAATCTGCTGTGGTAAATCAAGCTTGCTGTTATGAAGTTGTCTTCTCCTTTACCTACAGTATTCCTCTGAGAGAGAGAGAGAAGCATACAGCATCCAAACCCCAGGGTCCCAGAGCAAGCACTATACCACCAGATATAGTACAGAAACGAAAGCAGATAATCAACCCTTAAAATTTATGTCACTCATGTGTGTGTTTACATTTATTATTTGGGGGCTTTTGGTCCAACCAGCTACTTTCTGGTGTTATATTTAATCATTTTTACTCTTTTCTGCTCCCCCCCATACTGCAAATAGATTCCCCTGTTGGATCTCGGCTGCCACAGGACAGGCAGGAGGCACAGGGTGTTGTCACTCCCATCCAAGTGCAAACCAGAGCAGCAGCAAAACACTTCATTCCAAACACCGGCACAAACCAATTACTAAATTTCTATCAGATCACATACTGTACAACAAAAAATATCAACAGATATTGCAAATTTACAAAGAAAATGGCCAGCTCAGGGAAGAGTGTTGAATTAGGTCTTTAGTTACTGAAAACAGGTCCCATGTAGCCTAGACTGGCCTCAGACTCCTGATCCTCTGGACCTGCACCTCCTGAGTGCAGCGTTGGGATTACAAGCCATAAGCCACCACACCCAGGTCAGGAAAGAATATACTAAAAGGATAAGGCTAACAATTTACATAGGATTGTTTTTCTACGTAAGAGAGTGAAATGACTAACGAACACCAAGGGAGCCAATTTTATAAAATTCTATGATTCTAATTTCCGCTGTTTATGCAAGAGACTGAACAATGGCCATTATAGTAAGTATGAAGGAGAAATGCAAGCTCAGGCTACACTGCAATTTTAAAGAGAATGAAGATAAAAGCTGAGCTAATTATAAAACACATGGCACAACACGGTACCTCCTTCCATGTACCACATCGGCTAACATTTTATTCCGTTTGATCTCCTTCATGATGAATGAGTCCACTAAACATTTTTTTTAACTTCTAAAATTGATGTATATAAATCACTGTTTTGCACTTAATGAAGTTGATAGTGTTTGTGGCTGATTATCCTTGACAACATACAGAGAACACACATGGTCCCAACAGAGCAGCACATAGCACTGGGAAGCAGTCTTTAATGAGATGATTGCACAGTAACTGTGCCTCTGCTGGAAGGGGACAGGTTCCTGCCCAGTGTGGTTCATTAACTAGCCTGATGGGCTGTTGGCTTCCCTTACCACTCCACAGCTCAAAATTCTTTGGTACCTTTATTGACATTATAAATGAAAAAAAAAACCTCTTTACAATATTCTTACTTGATACCTGGAGACACAAAGTGTCTCGTGGCACTGCAGTGTTCACTGCTGACAAGCTAGCTGGCCTACCCTAGGCCAACCCTACCCTAGGCCAGCCCAGATGAGATGGCTGTGAGCGGAGCAGCCAGCTGGTGATGCAGACCCTGGCTGTCCCCTCCTCTTCTTGAGTCTAAAACAAAGAGGCCTGTGGGCAGCGCTGTGGCCCTCGGCTCCACATTTAAGGGGAAGGGTGTCATGTTTTCAGTCGCTCTGCTGTAGGCTCCACACAAGGGCTGCATTTACACACATAAAATATTAAACAGTAGATATGTTAACTGTAAGTTTACTAAACAGAATTTCAAATTTTGTTGCTGATTCCTTCAGTACTCTCCTCTGATGAAATGTGAAAAACAACAAATACATTAAAATTGAATAGATCCAAAAAGGCTTGAGGAAACATACTGAGGTGATTTTTTTGTTCTTGGATTGAGAATTTCCTGTGCTGCAACCAATCAGAATTCATGAGCCCCCAGAGGCCACAGACTGTTCTCGCCAGTGCTTCTGTGCAGCCCACTGGATGGAGCCTCTTAATTGAAACTGCCTCTTCAATTTCTCTTTAGAACTCACTGTTTAATTTAACCATCAAATATTAATTAAAACAACCAGGCAGAACATCACTTCATTATCCAAGCGGCGCCCAGACTCCAATTCCTGACAATGGACCTACCTGGCAGTTGTTCTGGTTTTACCATTTAGCTTGGTTGTTTGGGTTAAAAGATATAAAACTTAAAAGAAAGAAAGAAAAAAAAAGGAACAATAGCAAAGTACACTTGTGGGAACAAATATTAGAATCGAGGAAATGAGCCCACGTTCCTTCAAACAAATGTGCCTGTAACAGTTTAACACTAGCTTAGCGAGCAAGACCACCTACCTATTATTACCCCTTGATGTTTAGATTAAAAACGGTAGGTACATTGGTTGTAAGAAGCACCTCCCTAGCTCTCATCAAACATCCCACCTCAGCCTCAACACACTGAACCCTTTATCACACAAAGACCCAGCTTCCCAATCTTACTGCAGAACTTTTTCCACACAGGCTCAAGCAGTGCATGCATGCACACGTGTGCACATACATGCACTCACTATGCTGGCCTTTGAGTACCTCACCTCCAGCTCTTGCTCCCTCTGCAGTGCAAACTGCTTGAAGGACTTCACGATGAGGCCAGCATTGGAACAGTCGTAGACAAAGATGGACGGGCTGCCCATCCAGGTCTGCAGGTCATATATGGACAGAGGGATGTACTGAGTGTAGTTCTGGAAAAGAAGCACAGGTCACAATGGTCATATGACGACGTGTCACAAGCCCCGGCTGCTGACTAGCACCTGAACCCTGGAGAAAGCTGTCTGGTGTGGGCAGCCATTCATCACCACCAGCCATATAAAACCACACACCGAGTCTGACCTTGACTCCAGCAGCACCACAGGGCAGGAGCTGTTCAAGTCATGTCAGCAGCCTTTATACTCTGGATTCACCCCGAGACCGTGAATGTGAACTCACAGCCACCCTGGAAGCCCTTCCTTCTATCCCCCAGCCATGGCATATGCACAAAGAACCCTCTGAGGCCCCTTTTCTGTGGCTGCTCTGCTTGTGTAGCACAGATGGGCATGGAGGAGTTCAGATTCACATGCTTTCCTCACTGCCCCTTTAAGTCCAGAGTACTTTGTGAGTGAGTTTGGCTCTGTACAGTGTTTGTGTTGATCACAGTGACATATTAACACTAAGTGACCAAGTGATACACTTTCTGGACACACTGTTCTATTTACCTGATTGCTAGTAGATAACAGGAGACAAAATTCTAGTCCAATGAAATGAAAATCCTCTTTTAAACCAATGTTTTAAAGCAATTCTTCCAAAACAAAAACAAACCAACATAACAACAAAAAGCTACCCTATACTTACTCACCCTTGCTTGGACATCAACAGTGTAAGTGGTGAGCCAGACAGTTGACTCCTAGAGGTTGAGCCACCAACACTGACTCTGTGGTTGCCCACAGCTCAACAGAAGACAAGACAGCTAAATAAGGCCTGCAGAGAGGGAGTGTCCAGGTGGCCAACAGGAGGTTGCCCCCACACAGCATAGAGTCAGGCAGAGTCTTCTCCCAAGGACAATGCAAAGCACTGCCAATGGGGGTGTGTGTGGCCATCCCCAGCTCTGGCGAGGAACACTCCGTCCAGGCTCTGGCTCTTCCTAATGTCATGCTGTCCTCATTTGGCAGATTGTTTACAATCACAGGACTCTGAGAGAGAACACCTGGAAATGTTCTCTCTAAATAAACACTCTCAGAAGGATTCTAAAGACACCAGTTCCCTGCCAATGGCTCTATACAGCAATGCCAGCCCCATCAAGATGCCCGAGGGTTTTTTCCTCTAATGGAATTTGACAAGCTGATTCCAAAGTAAGTGCAGAAGAGAAACGCACAAAATTAGGGGGAAAAAAGTTTAATAAAGAATAATGAATAGAGATTCGCACTACCAGATATTAGATAGGCTATAAATTTATGTAATTACAGGCTGGTATTAGTGAGGGCGAGACAAACAAATCAACAGAGAGAAGGCCCAGAAATAGACCCCATATATAACTGTAATGAAATGGCATTTTAAATCAGTAAAGAAAGAATGAATGACTCCATGGGTAATGCTGGAATCTAACTAACCATTTGATATTGCCTCAGACTCTGTACCCAAAAAAACAGAGCGAATTTAAAAAGTGTAAAAGCAGAGTATTTTTATTTACTTAGGTGTAAGAAAAACTATCTTAAACAAGTCACAAAATCTAGAGGTCTAAAAGAAACAAGAGATATAAACACACACTTATGACTGACAGCTTCAGAAGGAAGGAGTCACAACTGAACTAGCAAGAAATGTATGCTGAGAAGGTATGTGTGAGCTTCTGCTGCAGACCAGCAAAGGCCAGACAACAGCAATGACATGCACAGCAAAGGAAGAAGATGAAGAAACACTGATGGTGGTGATTTGGGAAGCAAGCTATGCAGCAGCCAATCAGATGACAGCAGAAAAATGAGTCAATCTATCTACCCACCCACCTACACAACTCCTTCAACAGACTGCAAAGAAATAAAAGATAAATAATGCTTCATAACACGCTGACAAATGAGCTGACCATGCAGAAAGGACAGTCACCACCGTGACGGGCTCTGTGTTCAGGGAAGGCACATTACAGCTCCTCCTTTATGTATATGTTCTGTAAGACTCTTTACTAGACAGGATGCACACAGGATTCCCACCTCCTGCTGGGAGGGAGGAAGCGGGCTTGTTCTGGGATCTCAGTGACAGGCCTCAATGTCCCTCCTGGGCTGCAGTATATGAGCAAGGCTTCATCTGTGATGCAGGAAAGGTCTCCCTAGCTCTCCCAGGCTGGGGGCCAAAAGTAACCCTGTAAAGTGCAGAGCCCTACACGAGTAGCGAAGACTGGCAGTCTGCAGTCAGCTGTTTGCACACATCCTACACACTCGAGGTCCCAACAGGAATGGGAACAAAGCTTACCGAGTCTGTGCAGCTGCTGATGATGAGTGACACTGTAGTCTACACTGTGTTCCAGGTGCGAACCCACAGGTCCCACAAACAGCAAACAAGCATGAAATAAAATCAGTCTGCTTTTTACGTTTGCCCAAATGCAAAGTTACATTTAAATTTCTAAACCACCGAGTTAATTAGTGTTGATTTATTAAAATAATGAAGGCCAGATACATTAGAAAAACTTCATCTTCCCTGATACAACAGCAAGGTACAATCACCCAAGCAGGTCCTAAGAGCCTTTTCTACTTGATGGTACCCATCCACAGGCAGCATGACAAAAAGCCCTAGAACTTCCACATCGGTCTTGGTCCTATACCTTTAGTTATGAGGGACTTTCACTGCATCTCATCCATAAGGTGCCTTATAGAGCGGATGGCTTAAGTATATCAACATGCCTCTATAGAGATGGGCTACAAGAAGCCTGTTTAAAAGCAGATTTCTCAGTGGTCACTTTCCCCAGTGACATTTCTCCACCTCCATCCATTGCTCAAAACTGTGCAATGCATCTCAGGCCAGAACCACTTAGCCCTCAACATATGAAGGATCTCCAGATGTTGCCAAATACCCCCAAGAAAAACTTCCTGGCTGAAAAGGAGACAATTTCATCAAAATCATTAGCTGTATGGTTTAGTGAGACAACAAATTCAGAAGGCTGTGAACCCCCTGGGGAAGCAGAACCCACTGAATTAAATCACCATAAAGAGAATGACCTTTGAGAGCTAATCCTCACTAACAAGTGAATGGGGCTTCCAGTACCCATCTTGGAAGCACTGCCAGGGCCTGTCAAGCACCAGGCCAGAATTAAGGCCCTGCAAACCATCCAAGTGCAGCTTCAAGCATAGCCTCAGCACCCAGGGGACCAACACCCAGTGGCAGCAGGTACAAAAACCAAAGCAGCAACATGCTCACTGGGAACATGCCTCTATTCCTAGAGCACTCCCACGGCAGGCAGTGGCACAGCCCAGCACTCAGAAGCCCTGGTAGAACAGAGACTGGGGAACATGGTGGATGTGAGCAGAGGGCTGGCTCCACACATGCCTAGACTGAAAGAGCAGGGAAGCCCTAATCAAAGAGCCAGAAACGGGTTTAACATATGTATTCATTAAAATCCACTTTCTCAGAAAGGTATATTGGCACATGCCTTTAATCCCAGTGATCTCTGTGAGTTCAAGGCCAGCCTGGTCTACAGAGCTAGTTCCAGGACAGTTAGAGCTACACAGTGAAAACCCGTCTCACTGAGGGGAAAAGTCCATTGCTTTATCAGACTGTCACTGTGGACTGCATCAACCGTAACAGCAGCCTTGGCTGGGAAACGCCCAGCCTGCAACAGTGCAGAGACTCTCCCCGCAAAGGCCAGGTCAACCATGAGACGGTCAGCACCAGGGAGTACACGCCCTGCACCTCTGTAAGACTTCTGGAGAGTGACGCTGAGCTCTGATTTCAACTGTAGAGCAGATGGCAATGCCAAATACCTCCTACGCCTGGCACTGCCCCAACAATGAGCAGAGAAGAAGGCAAAGGTGACCAACAGGCTGCCATGCCATGCAGGGAGGGCCAGGCAGGACCACAGTGGGGTGGTGGGGAAGGGGGAGATGTAGCTTTGAGAAGTGTGTGTCCTAAGTAGGACAGTCAGGACAGCACAGTGGCATCACAGCCCCACTGTTGAGCCCTGGACAGGCAAACCTGGTCACATGGGGAACAATGGCTTTGAAAGGCAGCCGAGGAGTGCCATCAAGTCCCCTAGGGAGTGTTGAGCCCATAGGTGCCACTGGCCTACAAGTCCTGAGATATGGCTGTTGGAATGGGTAGATCCCACCAAGCCACACTTCCCAAAACTTCTACCAGGTATGGCTGTGGACAATGGGCATACAGAGGAAGAACCACTAACTGATGGCAAGAGGGTCTGGGTAGCCTCTCCCAGGCTTGCCCATTGCATGAAATGCTCAGAAACACCACCGTGAGCTACCACCTTGTAGACAGTCTTTTTTAACACCTGTTAAACACTCTGTGGTGGTGTTTTCTTGGGACCAGTGTCATAATGTCAGAAGCAGTTATGGGGAGGGTGCATGGTGATGTTCTGCCTCCCCTGCCTCTGGGGACTTGGCCTGGCTTCTGACTTACCCAGAAATAAGCCCAGGCAGCAGGTGACTCACATGTGACCAGCTGCAGCCTCTGTTTACCTCTTTTCCTGGTGCTCTCTTCCTCCTTTGTTCCTTCCCTCCTCCTTTCCCTAGTTCCCATGCCTCTGAGAAAGCAGGGTTCCTTGGGTTTGCCTAGTCAACGGCTCTTGCTCTCAGCAGACAGGATTTCCCATATTGTCCCCATATTTTCTCATGCTTCACTACGCCAGGTTTTAACAAGTACTCTTCCTTGGCCTCTTTGATGTATCTACAAGCAGAGTTGCCTCCCCCTGAAACAGCAACCACTCCTTAGCTATCTCTTCAAACATCACCGAACAGTCCCCTCCAATCCCAGGTTCTTCTCACTTCACCCAACTCTGCCCACCACAGACACCTAGAACCCTGACACCCAATGGTCATGAACATGCCAAGAACCCACATTTGGTTTTAAGCACGATTCTTGGGTGGACCTGAGATCGGTGTGGAAATGTCTCACATCAGAGTTGATTACAGAGGGAATCTTGGAGGAGCTTGCAGCATCTTAAAGAACTGTAAAGAAGGCACTCAAAGAACGATGAACATATCAAAAAGAATGC